GGCAGGGCCTGGATTCAAACCTGGGTAGTTTCACTCAAGAGCACACATTCATCAGCGTTAAGCCACGGTGCTTCCTAGCTGTGAGGTCACACTGCCCCCAGGCATCCATTCTTTGCCTCTGTGAAGGGGCTGTATCCACTTGGCCGTGAGGTGTGGCTCCTGGCAGTACATTGGGTGGCGCCCAGATGGAAGCAGGTCACCTGCACATGGCTGAGCCTGCCACAGCCAAGTCATCGGGCTGGGAGTGGTTGTGCTGGTTGTCCATAGGCTGGGTCGCCGGGCTCAGCAGGAACCAGTTGCAGGCCTATTATTGGCCAGAAGCATCTGTGGACACAGCAGCCTTCCTGAGGGTGTCTCTGGGTTGCTCAGCTGCTGGGGAGAGGCACCAATGGCTCTGATGGGGTGTTGGGAGGAGACCGGCATTCTTCCCCTTCTCCTTTCTGCCCCGCCTAAGGCTCGTAGTGAAACTGCAGACCCAGCATGATGAGAAAGAGACACTGACAAGATAGCGGAGGCACAAAGGAATAAGAATGTGAGTTGGCCAGGCGTAGTGGCTCACACCTGTAATCCCAGCACTTTGGGAGGCTGAGGCAGGCGGATCACTTGAGGTCAGGAGTTCAAGAGCAGCCTGACCAACATGGTGAAACCCCGTTTCTACTAAAAATACATACATATATATATATATATATATATATATATATATATATATATATTAGTCGGATGTGGTGGCACGTGCCTGTAATCCCAACTATTAAGGAGGCTGAGGGCAGGAGAATCGCTAGAACCTGAGAGGTGGAGGTTGCAGTGAGCTGAGATCACGTCATTGTACTCCAGCCTAGGAAACAAGAGTGAAACTCCATCTCAAAAAAAGAAAAAAATGTGAGTTTAGGCTCCAGACTGACGTTCTGGCTCTGTGTGTATTTGGCCAAGTGGCTTCAGTCTCCCCATCTGTGAAATGTGAAATGGAGATGATAATCGCACCTTCTGTGGGAGGCCGCTACGAGCATTTCAAGAGGGAGTCTGGGACCAGCTGAAGAGCAAGCATCTCCTGCCTCCTGCCTCTGTGGTTTCTCTGGTGTACCCTTCCCCATGACCCCTGCTCCCTCCCCCGCAGCTCCTCACTTTCCCAACCCTGTAGGGCCTTTGCTGGGATGTCCAGTAGGGATGAAAAGTGCTGCACAAGGGGAATGGCAGGGCTGAGCTCCGCTGGAGGGCACAGTGATCTGGGCTTGGCCTTGAAGGACAGGCGTTCACCAGGGGAGAGGGTACAGAAGGACATTCCAAGAACAGGGAATGAGGGGCCAGGCTCCTTCCTTAAGCCTCTTGCTCAAGATTACACAGCTGGTAGGACGCGAAGCTAGGATTCAAATCCACATCTGGGCCGGGCGCGGTGGCTCATGCCTGTAATCTCAGCACTTTGGGAGGCCGAGGAGGGTGGATTGCTTGAGGTCAGGAGTTCGAGACCAGCCTGGCCAACATGGTGAAACCCTGTCTCTACTAAAAATACAAAAAATTAGCCAGGTGTGGTGGCAGGAGCCTGTAGTCCCAGCTACTCAGGAGGCTGAGACAGGAGAATCGCTTGAACTTGGGAGGTGGAGGTTGTAATGAGTTGAGATCACATCACTGCACTCCAGCCTAGACAAGAGTGAGACTCTGTCTCAAAACAAACAAACAAAAAACCCCATCTGTTGAACTCTAGAACCTGGGGGTAAGATCTGTTCAAACCCAGAGCTGGTTGTACGGCCAGGAGAACTAAGGAGACTGGGGCCAGAGCTGAGCGGGGCAGAGCCTGGGACTTGGGAAGACACCCATGGGGGCACAGGTGCACACCAAAGCCCAGGCAGAATTCTACCCATGGTAAAGTACACGTGGAGAACATGCCCAGGCCCGCACTCAGAACTTCAGCTGGTAGGAGGCACAGCCAGGATTCAAACCCATGCTGCTGGGCTCCAGAACCTTCACTGTGACAGCTGCCCTCCCAGGGAGGTGCTCTGTTTGCCCGCATTAGTGCCAGGCCCAGTCCAGCACAGCCAGAGGAAAGGGGGTCTTCCTGTTTCTCACCTCCAACCCCATGATCCGTGGACACAGATAGCACCACACACACACACACACACACACACACACACACACCCCACAGGACACCCACACTCAGGTGGCCCAGGCAACTGAGGCATGGGCAGGAAAGCCACAAGCAGGGACGATTTCCCTGGTCACCACCCCCCGCGACGGGATCTCATACTGGAGGCCTGATGGCCCAAGTTCACCACAGCCTGTCTGATACTAGTGGCTGCTGAATGTGGCACATGGGGACTTCACAGGGCAAACCCCAGTCCTGGACAGGTGGTGTTGCTTCTTTGAGCCCCAGAATCCCACGGGAAAATGAGATAATAGCACCCCTCGTGGGGTTCCACAGGCATTAAATGAGATACTGTGTGGGAAGTGCCTGGTGGGGGGCCGGCCCAGAGGGGAGGACCCTGTCTCCTGGCACCAGCACACATTTCACCCCGCCTGGGAGACTCGGCCCAACGTTTCTTCTTCACTTCTCTGGAATGCCGCCCCTTCCCACCCCCGCTTCTGGCCAGGGAATGGCACATGGACGTTGTTTTGATTGGGGGCTACAAAACAGCCCTAACTTGGTTTGCAAGGTCACCTGGTCCAATAGACTTAAGAGACTCTCACACCACTTGTGCACCCCAAGCCGAAGCCTGGTACCCATCCCCATGTGGACAGTGCGCAGGCCCTTGGGCCCCACATGCTTGTGAACACACACGTACTCTCAAGTAAGCACACGGGTTCCTGTGCATCGAGCGGTATGTGGACAGGCCCCTTCGCCCGTGACTGGGTATTTCTGGCAGTTTCCTGTTGTTATTCTCCTTGATCTTGTAATGGGTTTTGGGACCCCCGCTTCTCTAGTCCCTGGGCTCAGAAGCCCCCAAGGCTTTCCGAAGCTCTCACTAAGTGTTGGCTTCTTGAGCAAGAAGGGCTAGGTCAGGGTGTGGGGTCTGGTTTTACTCATCTCTGAGTCCAGCCTCTAACCCACCACTTGACACAGAAAACGTACCTGGTGAAAATCTATTAAAATCAACGATTGATTTCACCCAGTTTGGAGTGAGACATGCCCGCACAGTCTCCATGTCTGGAGCGCTTTACAAACCCCAGGGGACACCAGAGGCTGGGCCAGAGGGCCTGTGTGGTGGCCCAGTTTCCTCACCTATGAAGTGAGGATGCTTCTGTCCTCCCAGAGAGGTGGTGAGGAGTGAAGAGAGAAAACGTGCACATGCTTCCTAACACAGCACATAGGAAGAGCATTGTTATTTTCATTTCGGCCTCCCTAGGATAACGGAGACGCCCATAATTCCCTCAGGGGTTGCTAGTCAACGTGGGAATCTCCTCTAAGCACTGGCCTGTGCTTCTCTCCACACACTGGTCCAAGGTGAGACTCAAGGCGGTTCCAAGGAAGTGTCTGCTTTGGGATGTTGAAGATGAATTTGGGTGTGCCTACGTATTATGTTCCCACAGTATATTTTTGCAAAACCACATAGCATATATTGTTTTATTTACAAAGATGAGAAAGGCTGACCCGCAAGCTAATTGAATCATGCAAATAACTATTTAGCCATGGGAGCAATTCCTACAGGCAGGCTGAGCACCAAGTGAGGGAGGACGGCTTTGGAGGACAATCTATTTTATAAAGTTTACCCTCACAGTGTAACTGCCTGGAGATTAATGGGAATGGTGGCCCTAGACCTTGTTTTGCCTGGCTTTACCAACTGAAAGAGTCAAACAGTTGTATTTATCATAGACAATTTGCTGCAACTAATTAACATTAATCTGATTTCCTGTGAGTCAGTTTCCTTGAGATATAGTAAACAGGCCAATTACCTGCCATTGACCTCTTTTATTATAAAGATTTAGATATTAGCAACAGATGTATATGTAAACATATGGAATTTCTAACAATTTGAAGAAAACAAACATTAAATCCAGTTAAAAGATTTTTAATTGGTCTTACAAGATTACAAATTTAGAGTTTAAAAAGGTATGTTGAATATTGCACAGATTGTTTTTTCAATGGCATCTGAGGCCCATTCTTTCCAAACTTTTCTTAGTCTTTAACTGTAGTTAAAGAAGTTAAAGGTGAAGAAGCAAATGTGTGCCAGACGCAGTGGCTCACACCAGTAATCCCACACTTTGGGAAGCCAAGGCAGGAGGATTGCTCGAGCCCAGAAGTTCAAGACCAGCCTGGACAACACAGTCAGAACCCATCTCTAAAAAAAAAACAACTTAAAAAAAAAATTCAGTGGGGTCCAGTGGCTCACACCTGTAATCCCAGAGCTCCAGGAGGCCAAGGTCGGAGGATTGCCTGAGGCCAGTAGTTTGGGACCAGCCTAGGCAACATATCAAGCCATGTCTCTACAAAAAAGAAAAATTAGCCAGGCATGGTGGTATACACCTGTAGTCCTAGCCACTCAGGAAGCTGAGGCAGGAGGATCACTTGAGCCCAGGAGTTTTATGCTGCAGTGAGTCAAGATCACATTACTACACTCTAGCCTGGGTGACAGCGTGAGACCCCATCTCAAAAAAAAAAAAAAAAAAATTCCATCTAACAAGTGCCAAAGGCATCACTAGGTCAGGAGAGTGTGAGCTGAGGGCAGAGAGACCTGAGTTCAAGGTGTGACGCCTTGCTGTCCTAGGTCTGTGATCTTTTGGCATTCGCTTAAATTTTCTGAGCTTTGGTTTCCTAATCTATGAATACGGAGTTTTCCTTGGGGTGTTACTGAGCACATCAGGATCAAGTGAGGACTCCCAACGATGGTTCAGTAGGTGGCACGATGCCTGCACACTCAACAGCAGCTGCTCCTTCCCTCCCAGCCCCACCATCATCTCAGAGTCATCTCCGACAGGCAGGCAGTCACACTCCCAGGCCTGGTGCTGGGTGCACTTTCTCCTCTCCCTGCACTTGGCTGGCTCAAATAGTGAATTAAGAAACTGCATCAACATTTAATCATGAAAGCAAAAAGTTTATTCATGTTTGAAACTACATGTAACTACCACGAGGAAGACTTTTTCAATCCAGGGTGTAATCCAGTTAGAAAGGAACACGAAACGTTTTTAATACATTAGAATCACCGCCACAAATTATTTTCATGACTCAATCAGTTTCAGAATCGCATACAATACAAAAAGAGAAAGGAGAGGGGGCCCCATTACACAGGGTGAAATATACAGTACTGAATACTGAAATCTGAATGCATCACAATTAGTCGCTGCTTTTTTTTTTTTTTTGCATGGATTAGTAGTAAGATGAAGAACATTCAAAATGTTTCTCAGTATTTACAACAGTTTTACTGATCCTGTGTTGAATTAAGACCCAATGTTTCCACTCTCGGTTTTTTAAAAGTTGCAAATGCAACCCTGATTTTTCTTTTAAAAGATTACAATGTACATTACATTTTATGAAGGGAAACAAAGAGTTAATTACAAGATGCAAAAAGATAAGAAAGAGACAAACTACAGCGTGAGTATTGTTCAGAGGTAGTAAGTGAGCACTCTAAGCTACAGAACATGTTGAAATTCTATTGGTTTGTATGAGTTCGCATGAGGTAATAAAGCTGTGTTTTGATTGGTGGGATGTATAAATACTCTTTTGCTACACTATATACAACACTCCAGAGAGCAGGGCCTTTTGCGGATGCCCAGAGGACGTAGCAAACCTTGACAAGTCTATGCAGCACCCAGTGCACACCGTAAAACCCCAGACGGATCGATCTCGTTTTCACCTCTATCAGCAGCAAGTATCTTCGTCTCTCAGAACAATCTGGATCCATAATTTTATTACCGAGCAGACTCTGGGCACTGGTGCTTTCAGAGAGAGAAACGATGCTACCAGTCTCTGATCTAATTATAACATAAGAGATCTGAACACAAACGTGACGAGGAAGATTCTTAAACACAACCATCATTAACAGGGATAGCCAAACAGCTCTTTATTCCAACTCCATTAGTGATATGAAAGTAAGACAATCCAAGTCAGTAATGGAAATATGCAAGAAGTTCAATTTAGGTGAGGTGAATTTTTGCATCTGCTTTAACGATTGAGGTTTAGTGTATATTGTACTTTTTACCCTTAAGGCCAAGTAATTGGCAACTGTGAAACCATTAATGTAAAATATTGGTAATAAATTATGATAAAATAGCTACAGGACTGTCAACAATGTTAAATCTTGGCCTAATTGGATAAAGTGCTTTTTTTTATTTCTTAACATTGTGTGTTTTTAAGTATAAATACAAATGATTATGATTCCTTAAAAAACAGATTTACCAAGTTCTCTAATAAGACAAGGTTTTACAGTAAAGCTGTAGATGGTGGGCTACAAAAACGCTTTCCTTTTCCTCCTATTGCTCTGAATGCACTTATCAAGGCATGTCAGCTCAGGGAAAAGTGTGGCCAGAGATTAGTTAGAGGTATCCGAGTGCACACTTCCTGGGCCTTCTGTAGGAGAAGTCACAGAAGATGGAGTTGTTGCGTCCTGCCAGCCTCCATTAGCCTGAAAGGAGAAATACAGTTCAACGGGTGCACGTCTACATATTAATTCTACTCCCCAATTTAAAACACCCAGATGACAACATGAGAGCAGAGATGCATTAGCAAAATGTATTTTCTAAACCCACTGTGGCAGGAGTTGGCAGCATGTGTTAAAGTGGGATTAAATGCATGTAAAACAAATCCATCCCATCAAGTAAAGACTTGGCAATAAATCAACATGCCGAAGAAGGGCTTCAGCGAGGCCCATGCTGGCACCAAGCTTGGCCTTTGATCTGCTGGTAAAACTACAGTGTCTCAAAAAGAATCTCTTAAGAAGGGAGCAGTGGAGAAGCTCAATGCAATGCCTCAGCAAAAGCCTGGGCTCCATGAAGTCTAAACTTCACCCCGGCTTAATCATCATTTCCACAGAGAAGCAGTTGCCCACCCTTTTTCCATACACGCCTGATAGCCAGCTACTGTAACCCTTAGAAAGTGAAGGCCAGAATTTCCCTCCAAATAGGATCTTCCAGAATGAAAATGCATGAGCCGCGGAGCAGCACACACTGTTAAAATCTGTATTCCAATTATCTGTGGCCGAGGCTGCTATTTGGGATGTTGCTCCTGCCTTCCACATGCTGCTGGCCCTTCCTGCCTCAGACCCGCAGCAGCAATAACTGTACTCAGAAACAAATTTGCCTTATGTCTTGGCCTATAGTGGCAATTGCTGAAATCAATGTCTGATCAGATTTCTGCTGTGGCAGACAGCTTGTCGCTACATATTTTTATGTCAGTCAAGAAGAGGGAGGTGCCAGCCTCGTGAGTTGGGGAACACTGAGTGGAAGTGACGGGGCAGGCCTTTCTGGAGAGGAGGCGAGGGTGAGCTGGCTCCCAGTGCCTGCAGCACCAACCACCCTCTGCCTGCATGCTGCCCCCAGACCCGGAATCCCACACCAATGTCAGGGTGGATCATAAGGTGCCTCCTGCCTCCCTCACATCTACCTGCAATTTCCTCTGCAAGTCCATCCAAAATGTCCTCTTTCAGGCCTGGGCTGCCAGGCTGCTGAGAACTCTGTCTAGATTCCCTGCCCAGCCCGGATATAGCTCCTAGATGAGCATGTGGCAGCCATTGTTTCTTCTCCCGTGATTACAGTTCCTGGAGAACTCCCTGTCTTCTGATTCACTGCAGAGTTCGGCAGGCAAAGCACCTTTTCTACCTCCATGACCCACGGAAAGGGAGGGAAAAACCTAACAACCCCACAGAGATGACCAGAGCCTAACGGAAGAGGATTTTCCAGGCTTGGGGCATACCAAATTCAGGTTAAGAACAACAAAAGGAAACAATATTAGAAAAAAAAAAAAAAAAAAAAGCTATGGTGGTATTGTTCTAAAGCCTCTGTTGTGCCAGGTTGGCTAATGACATGCCCGTGTGTGTTCGGTGGACTCTCAGAAATCCTCTTCTCTATCTAAAAGGTAAGCTGTTTCCCCCCTCAGGTATGAAAATCTACTTAGGAAAAGAAAAACTCTCACACAGATACAAGTCTAAAGATATTCCATCTGAAGTAAACATCATTCCTCTTTTATCCAAATTTATAAACAACAAATGTACAATATTTTTACCCAGCGTGGCAGCTGGAGGAGAGGTTGTCAGCAAGCATTCTTTTTTTTTCCAAATAAATTAATCCTTACTCTGGTGGTTTGAGATTATGCACTGTATTATACAACAGCGCCTTATCAAGCCTCATCAGTGAAGATGGAATTCATGTCTGTAAAATGCTGCAGGCAATCACAGTTTCATATTTTATCATGTTGATAAGGATATCGCACATTCTCTGAAGCATTTCAAAACACTTAAATGAAAAAGGAGAAATGCAACTAAAAGGCTTTTTATATGGTTTGTTGTGGGTTATTATGAGTTATTTATAAGCCCAAAAAGAAAGATTTGACATTTCAAATGTAAAAGATTTGAGTATTTAATGGTCCTTTTTTCCCTTTACAATTGAACATCCTCAATCACTTTTTAAATCATTAATATTTACTCTCATAGCAAGCCAAGGCCCTAAAAAGGGAGAATTTTGCCCATTTTCTTCCTGAGTCTACTACCGTGAGTTGGGCAGTTAATTTCCTTCCTAAGTGTAGAACCCCAGACTCCATCCACCACCCCCCGCAGCACCACCACGATGACCTGCCTCCCTGCCTCCTTCCCCTTTTCCAGAGCTGTGTGTTTTGCCATTTTCCATCCATGTCAGTGGAGGGAAAGGTAAAGTTGTAGTGAAGTAGTTACAGAAGTTAAAATCATTTCCTCCATAATTAAAGTTGTCAAATATGTTTTGCATCCCACATTGACAATACAGCAAGATGCTTTTAATAACAGAATTCTTTGTTTAGCTTGGTTTGTTGGTCTGCCTGGGAGTCTCCAAACTTACCACCTTCATCTGAGTTCTGCTTCGGAATTTTTCCTGCTGCTGATTCTAAGATAAATGACCTGTTTTCTACCGTCTCCCTGGAACACAGCACTGATGGTAGGAAATGGCATCTTAATGGGCTGATGCTTAAGTCCCTGCTGATGACAGGACACCAGCCACTTCTGGGCATCTATGACGACTTCTAAGGGTATCCAGCTGGCATTAAGCATTTAGGTTCTTAAAATAAAAGTGCAGCAAAGATGCTGCCTTCCCTACCTGCCAATAAGATGAGAAGCCAGGTCAAATGGCTATTAATTTCTTTATTAGTCACTGTTTACCTGACACTGTGCTCCTACAGCTGGCTCCCCAGAGTACTCACATTTAAATTATGTGGACTGTACAGTGAATTTCCTCCAAGGCCATCACTGTAGCCTCCCGTCTGATTGATAACATGACGGAGGGTATCCACCTAGGTGAGAGAAAACAAAATTCATCATCCCAAATCTATTAAAACGTCATCACTTACAAAAGGAAATAATTTGAATTATGTGTGCCACAAGGGTTTAACATCTTCAATGAAAGACAAATTTATCAATCAAATGTGACTGGCAGAATTTCAACCATTCTTTGCATATTTAAACTCACAAATCTTTGTTTTTCATGCCAGCCAAACAATAACATCTTCATGGCAATGCAACTTTCCATCTACAGCAACCAAATGGATGTGGCTGTGGGTGAAAACCTACTTAAATTGTGTATATGGAATTATCTCAACTCTCTCTCTCTCTCACTTTCTCTGTGTCTCATACACACACATCTAAATGTATAAAAACTATATGAGTAGTTCTGTTCTCAATTAAGAGGACAAGAAAAGAGTAGAAATTATAGAGTTATAATTTAAGAACTCAGATTTTGTACTCTGACTTAAGAAATGAAACAGCAACATGTTCTTAAACCATATACACACTGGAACACTCAATTTTTCTGTTCTATTTTGTGACAAAAGTAAGATGCACCCAACCCCTCTCCATGAGCTCAAGCCAGAGCCGAATGCATTCACAAAGTTTATCAGGTTTGAATCATCACAAGTCACTGTTCGCTTGACTTCTCATTAAATTAAATGGTGGGGCAGACGGGTCCCGTTTGGAAGCACCCAGCACAGGTTCTGCATGGATGTGTAGACCACTTCCATAGGGTCAGAGGAAGGAGTTTTGAGCCCAAACCCTACCCTGCTAGAAAGGCCCCTCTGGGGCATCTCTCCTACCTGTGATTGCACATTGGCTCCGACTTGGGACCCTTGGTAAGAATCCCCATTCAGACTCTGCATGTTCATGAACATGTCCCCAGAATTTGGGAGGTTAAAAGAACCAGAAGAACCTGGAAAGGAAAGAGTTAAGTAGCTGAATAACAGAGAGCTACACACATAATCCTCAAAGACCTAGAGGCAGGGAGAGGAGAAAAAGTACAGAAGGGAAAGGCTGTGCGCAACATAAAGCATTTCCAGATCTAAGAGGACGGAGAGTAACTCCAGAGAGTTGGGTCCTGTGAGTCACTCTACATCTAGAAGTCCCATCAATGGGGAAGCCCAAACTTAAAAAACAAAACCAAAAATGAAGAGACAAATCAAAATAAATTAAAAAGAAAAAATAAACCAAAACACCCAGCAGCTGGCCTGGACCCTTCCCCTTGTTTCCACTGATCTGCAGGATTTAGTCAAGACACGAGCCTGTCAACAAGGCTAACTGTCACGGTGGACAGCCACCCAGAGAAGAGACTTTTCCAGGAACTCTTTCTTAGCTATGCATATACCTCCCTCTCCTTTCACCTGTTTTTATGTGCCATTAAAAAGAACTGGGGGGCGAGGAGACAAGACAAAACAAACAAAAAATCCCCTATTTTCTGAACTTCTAAAGATCTATTTAAGAGACCTTCTCAGAAAAGTCCCTGGAATTGCTACTCAAGTCCATCTGTTTGGACTAGCTGCACATCTTTCATTGTTATTCAAGTTCCCCGAAACTTTAAAGTATTTCTAACCCCCTCACAAATGTCACATAAAATGCAGCCAAAATGTGCCGGACAAGGATCCAAGAATCTTGCATGCGCGTATTAAGCACCATAACCCTCACAGCTAGCCACCTGCTGAGCATGCCGTCAGTCCTGCTCAGACAATGTTGCCGAAAGGCAGAGGAAGGACAGAGGCGCTGGGCAGAAAGCACCGCTGCACTTCCCTCCAGCATTCCAGCTTCCTCATGCACAGCAACTGCTGCATTTCCCACTTCTGCTATTTCACTCTCCACAGACCACTACTGACCCTAAAGTGATAACTGGAAAGAGATAGCTAAAATAGTCATGAGTGAGAGCACTCTGCCTAACTGCTGAACTGAAAGCCACCACTAAGTGTAAAAGTTCCATCATCTACTAGTGAGTGGCATTCACTGTGAAGAGTGGGTTTACAGGCTCTGGCCTTCCACTCATTCACCCATCTCAAGAACAAGCCTACATTTGAATATAAATCTTCCTTTTTAAGTCCACTCTGTCCTCAGTATGGCTCTTGTTTCCTGGCCTGTGGGACAGGGCATTGTGGCATAAGGCTGCCTGGGCCAGCTGGGGAGCAAGCCCCCAGTACGCACCGGAATTTGGTGTGGTGGGCGAATTGGTCTGGTTGTTCTGCACAGCTGCTGCTACTGCGTGTGCAGCTGTCACGGCCGTCTTTGCAGCATAGAGGTTGGCTTCTTCCTGAAACTTGCCGATATTCTTCTTGTACCTGATTCGTTTGTTGCCAAACCAATTGGATACCTACAAATTACAGGGACATGGAGGTGAAGGGGAAGAGAGGAAGAAATAATGAAAATCCAATAATACCTGTCGGACACCAACGCAATACCACACAATTCCTAGCCTGCAACCTCGCATCCTATGGATCATGCATTATGGTTTTAGGGGTTATTTTCTCTTTTGGCAAAATTCTCACATTCTTTTGGAATAACACCGCTTTCTTAGAGTTGGCCACACTAATATCAAAATGTCAGGGAGCACTGCTCATAAAAGACATCCAACTGCTATATACCGATTAGTATATAAATAGTCAGGCCCCCAAAATCAGGCTGAAAAGCTGAAGGAAATATTTGCTAAGTTAGGTAACTAATAAGAAATACTTGAACATGAACAACTTATTCTTCTTTTTTGGGTCTAGAATAATTTTGGCAGCTGTATAGTAGAATCATGTTTGGTCTGCTGAAAAGAGTAACATCAATTAATAATGGATGAAAAAACCCTTTGTCTTCTGCCTTAGCAAACACTGCATGTCTGCCAAGATGGCTGCTCAAGCTCTGCCAGTTAACATGTGGGAAGGTCACAACTTGAAAACTCAAGTAATTCCAATCAGGTCAAATGCAAACACAGAGGAGCAACTCTAATGTCATCAGGTAGAAGATATTTATTTCTTTTGCAAACTTCTTATGATGTCAGCTGGTGCAAATGGAAGAGATTTCTACAAAGGATCTTGGCAATAGGCAGATTTCATCACATTTCAAGGAGAGCAGAACTCAGCCCCAGAATCATGGCCCACAGTT